ATGATGGATAGATAGATCAAACAATCTCGTTAAGTGTGCTTGTAGTAAGTAAGTAGTTATTCTTTACACAACGTTTAAAGTTTCATAAGATTTGATTTGTGTGATATTTCACAGCTGCTAAGCGATATCAAGATTATTTTAGTGAGGTTTTATGTTTTCCTATCTTACAGAACGTTACTGAGCACAAAATATTATCTCTGTTTGTTTGTTTTAAAGCAAAGCCACATTTAGTTAGTGGACTTATCACTGTCCCTATTATGTCTCGGTATTGATTAAGGTCGTATTCATTATAAAAACTCCCGGCAACCACTAACTTATCTTAGTTATAAAAAGTAGTAACGGAAGTACAGCCCACTGGTAAAACTGAATTATTTCTACACAACCGAGCAAAGAAAATAACTTGTAAAATCTGGAGGTAAGGGAATATGAATGGCATAATAGAATAACCTGTAAAATCTAGAGGTAAGGGAATATTAATAAAATAATATAATAACCTGTAAAATCTAGAGGTAAGGGAATATGAATAAAATAATATAATAACCTGTAAAATCTGGAGGTAAGGGAATATGAATGACATAATAGAATAACCTGTAAAATCTAGAGGTAAGGGAATATGAATGACATAATAGAATAACCTGTAAAATCTGGAGGTAAGGGAATATTAATGAAATAATCCATTTATAATGCACATTACGTGTCAATTTTGCATATTATATAAGAATTTCAACCTTTAAAATAGTGACAATCTATATTTATTTCTCGAAGGATAACAATTTCACCTGGTTGACGATTGCTCTTTTTTTTGGAACATACATGTTATCACAGAAAGAAAGAATTCGAAAACCATTAAATTTCGGTAACAGCTTCTTTGTTTATCTTTTGTTTTAGCATAAAGATACACAGTGACGTGTCCTCTGCAGAGATAAAACCACGAATTCTAACATTATTAGCCACAGAGCGATCCTATTAACAGTACTAGTATTTTCAATCTGAATGGCAGCTCATGCGACGCATGGGCTAAACGTCAGAGACCAATGATTTATGTGTTCCCATCCCTAATTTAAATTGTTGACCATAGATATAGCATCCAGTCAGCTATACCCTTTATCCATGCAACTACTTTTAATCGAATAGCCGGATTGTGCAAAAAGTGTTTAGCAGTGACATATCGTGACTCGAACCTTGGTCCTTCAGAATTGCATCTCTGGACCCTAAGTACCTGGTCACACCTGGTCCAACTCTTGTAGCAATGAACCATCGATTGGCGTAAAGGAATATGTTATTAAGAAATGTTAAAATTTGTGGCACCTTTACGCAGTATCTACATTTGTTTCCTGCAACTGTCATCGCAACTCAACTTAAGGGATAACTTTTATGGTTATATAAGTATAGGAAGTCAAGCCTTCTGAACGCGTACTTTAGTTAAATGTGAGATATCCATCTGTGTGATATTTCACCACTAATATTTATCACTGTTATTGAGTTACACAAGTGGAGTACGTTTAACGTTTCCTTACGTCTGAAACATTAAAATGTCTAGAAACATTTTACTTGATTTACAAGTGTGATAGAAGAGTAGTTTAATGTGAGCACAGACCTCACATTTACACGACCTTGACCTTTTAGTGTTACGATCACATACTAGACACGTTTTGCAAACTTACGATGCTATCCGAAGTTTCCATGGAGATATGTTGACCTTAGAAGCTCTAGGTCAAACAATAATAGAACCTGAAACCCTATTCGCTCGCACCTATAATCTTCGTATCCATTTTAACAATAGAATATTTGTATTTTAAAATTATTTTACAAAAAAAAAAGTTATTAACATTTGCTGTAACGTCAATTTGTGACCTTTTTTTAACACATTTCAATCGATCAATTAACTTACGACATGAAATAAATTTAATTTGTCTGCACAGAAACAAATACGGTTATCATATGACGTAAGAACACTGTGCTGCCATCTGATGACGAAACGTTAACCCGCGTTTCTATGTCATACTAAACGAATACGACTAAATACTAGGATACGAGGGTGAGTATTAAGGGTTGGCATGATATGCATTGTCATATTTTAATTATAAAATTATTTGAATAGCCTATGTATGGTTTTATAATACTATTCTATAATATCAAATTCAAATATAAACTAGAATGACACTCATGGAGTGACACCTACAACTTGCAATGTTTTTAGTTTTTCTAACCTAAAATATGCACCAAACAACTCCCCATTCCCCAAGTCTTAGGTCTAGGTGCAAAGATCCTATTTGTTTCTTAAATTTTGACTTTATTTTTTTTTTCAAAATTCCAATCTGCTTCTATTATAATGAAAGTGGGTGGCATTAAGTGTGACCTTGTGAGATGCTCAAAATTTGTACCAAATTCCACTGAAATCAAATGAAAATGTTTGAATTAAGCTGTTTATACACACCCAGTACAGTGGAAACCATAGTTCCGCTGTGAGGCATGGGTAGTAAATTAAAACATCAATTTACTTTACATTATATGCATGAAATATGTAGGTTTTATCATGTATAGAGAGACATCTGTATGTCTGTATGAGTGATGAAAATTGAATACTTCTAATCTCTAGTACTGAAAATAAGAATTAGTAAGAGTTAGTAATCAATTCCAATGAAATATAAGGTAAGACAACAACGAGAGACATATTTGTTTCTATAGCAACGAGTAATTATGTGATTAACGGCAACTTTAATTAAGTAATATTGAACGTATAATACCCTCATATACCTTATACCCCTTCCTCTTATGTAATTAGTTAGGGCATGTTATTGTTTTCAAGGTGTGTATTTAATGCTGTATATTTTGTTATATTCTGTCTTGATTAGATATGTATGTGTGTTTATATTACCGGTCATTTACCTAAATCCAACAAGGAAAATATCAACTTTTTGCTATAAAAAACTGTAAGAATGAGAACCAGTGATCATAAAACATTAGTATATAACAGCGTTTTGTCACAAGTTGTTTTGTAATTACAACAAAAGCAATTATTCCTCTCATAAATGTTATTACTATATAATTTCACATCAACATTCATTATCTATTGTCTATGTTTTTCTAAACTTGTCTTTCAATTTTATCTTTATGGCCATGACACATAAAGTTTTCCACTCCCACGTGACTTTTTCCCACACCTGGCAAACTCGACTTACTCCCTGTTTTTCAACTTATATCCACACTGTGTATTCCATTGTATCTTTCTGCCACTGACCATGATGGTGACAGGTATCCAATGGAAAGTACTAGGGCTTATCAGACTTTTCTAATTATGTTAAGGAATAATGTTCCAGAAAATGCTCTTGAAATAAAGTCGTTTGATTATTAAAATTAAAAAACACGACTCTCGGTAAGATGCCACTGGTCAAGGAGATTCAATGATCTCGGGTTCGAGACCTCAGTGGTGCTGCCGACTGATTACTTCATCAAAAAACTCAACTGTCTTCCAAGAAAAACTAGTTCATCTATTCTAAAGATAGTAAACTCGAATTGCAATCAATTTTCAACTTGAATGCACCTCACGCGCACGTGGGCTAAACTTTCAGGTCAGAAACCCCTAGAGTTTACTTACAGCAGTCAATAATTTTGAACTTCTAATCAGAAGGAAGGCCGACAGCCGTCCAGTAGCACCTGCCCTTAGACCCAAATAACGGGATTGAATGTCACTTTTATAACGCGCTCACATCTGAAAGTGCGACTTGAACCTTTGACCTTTCGATCCGCAGCCCGATACGTTAGGCACTAATAGTGAATTGCAAATAAAGGAAGCTTCCAAGTTTCGTGGAAAACTTTGAATGACATTAGCACCCAAAAAATGTAACTTCCTCAAGACAAAACTTTCATATATACGAGAAAAAAAAAAAAAGAAGATAAATGTAGTTTCGACTACTCAAAATAGTTTGGAAAACTAGAGAGCGGCATAGATTTGATAAACTCTATACAGTAAAATCAAGATGACCATACAAGCTTCAGCCAGAAAACGCGTACACCAATAAAAAATAAAAAAACCTAAACTTACCGATTAAGCAAGCTTAAAGCAAAGAACTGCAACCTATTAATATGGATCAGGTTCTTTGCCGGTTTGTAAAAGTTTACTAACCCTAAATTCGATAGAAAACATGTTAATAAACAAGTGCGTTTTAAATATTTTCTCGTTCAGAATTAGTTCATGATTACACCAGGTTCAGGTGTGTGTTTGGTGGTTCTATAATGTCCTTTCATAACACGTTTTTGTCTCGTTAATGTAATGAAAGGAAATGATAAAGATTATAGGTGTTTCTAAAATGTCCTTTCATAACACGTTTTTGTCTCGTTAATGTAATGAAAGGAAATGATAAAGATTATAGGTGTTTCTAAAATGTCCATTCATAACACGTTTTTGTCTCTTTAATGTAATGAAAGGAAATGAGAAAAATTATAGGTGTTTCTAAAATGTCCTTTCATAACACGTTTTTGTCTCGTTAATGTAATGAAAGGAAATGATAAAAATTATAGGTGTTTCTAAAATGTCCTTTCATAACACGTTTTTGTCTCGTTAATGTAATGAAAGGAAATGATAAAGATTATAGGTGTTTCTAAAATGTCCTTTCATAACACGTTTTTGTCTCGTTAATGTAATGAAAGGAAATGATAAAGATTATATAAATGAGTCTTTTTTATGTTTTCTTTGAATGCAATAAACGTTTCTTAATTTAAAAGAAATAAGTAAGATTATGTTATCCATAGGCATCTATCCACATTTCAACTCCTAAGTGAAGTAAAAGAATTAAACATTTAAACATGAGTTATTTTTCTGTGAAATGAAGTGGAGGATTTTATTCACAAAAATTAAACTGTAAATCAAATGGGTTTCTTATAACAGCTGTGATAACTTGTAGTTCTTTTTTGTTTTTACTTTAATGTGATATCGTAATTTCTTGACAGAATGCTGTATTTTGGTGTTTCGTTTTTAAAACATGTTCATCATTCCTCAGCTATACGGCAATTCTATAAAGTGCAGGTGTTTGACGAGTTTGTCATTAAGGGGAATACAGCGGTGATGAGATGTCACGTGCCTTCATTCGTTCGGGATTATGTCACTTTCACCTGGGAAAGAAATGATGGCATGAAAATGACATCGACAGCTCTACAAGGTACGTAAACATGCCGATAAGTGGCGCTTTGCACTGAACAATGAAACCTCTGACGTAAAGATATCACCAGGAGGTCTAGCTCTTATGACAGTTTTTGAATTAGATCTTATATCCGATGTTATAGTTACTTAGTTACTCGCTTCGGCTCAAGACGCTGTTATTGTCTTTTTAATTTAGACGTGTCACTTTAATCATTCATAGCATCATTTTTATCAATTTTTCTGGCAATATATTTGTTTGTTTGTTTCGAGTATTCGCACACGTACATACAAGGGTTATCTGCGTTAGCCGTCCCTAATTTTGAACTGCTAGACTAGAAGGAAGACAGCTAGTCAACAGCACCCACCTCCAACTCTTGGACTACTCCTGTTTGACCGACTACTGGGATTTGACATTTACTCTTATAACCTACCCACGGCCCCAAATGTGGAGATGCCTGACATGGCCTGGTAGTTAGGGCACTCGACTCGCAATCTGCAGGTCACGAGTTCGAATCTTGTCACCGAACATGCTTGTCCTTTCAGTGTATTATAACGTGACGGTCAATCCCATTTTTCGTTGGTAAAAGAGCAACCCAAAGGTTGGCGGAGGGTGGGGTTGAATAACTGCCTTCCCTCTAGTCTATCACTTCTAAATTAAGGACGGCTAAAGCAGATGACCCTGAAATAGCTTTTCGCGAACTTCTATAAAACAAACAAAATGTGGAATGTGATTTTACGGTAACACAATTGAGAACAATGGATCTTCGAATTCATAGTCCGGCACGCTAACCACTTTACAACTTTATTCAGACTACTATTAATAAAGTTTAATAACATCAAGTTCCCTTGCAAGAAAAAAAAGGTACCAATATATGTATATATATTTAGAATCCTTCACGAAACACTTGTTTCTGTATTTAGTTAAATGGGAAACGATCATTGGATTAAGGACAAAAGTTCTTATCATCCCATTTTCTATTTTATTTGTATCTTGTTTACACATTTATTATTTCGAATACCATATAGGTTTGTTTAGTTTTACCATAGGTATTAATGACACAGGTTTTTTAAGTATGGAACTTGTTACAGCAAAATTACAGTAGTCCAAGGGAAAAAATTATAGAGTTTTTTGAGGACAATGAAAAAATATGAATTGTATAATTACAGAAATCAAAACAAATAATCAATCATCTTAACTTTATTATATGACATTCTTCAACGTTCTTTTTATAAGATTACGTTCTATGTTCTTATGATGTGTTAGAGATATTTGGTTGGTAAAATTGCGTTCAGACATATGTTACAATTTGAACAGATATGGAAACTATTGGTACATTGTTTTATTTTGGAACGTTGCAATGGAAACTATTGGTACATTATTTTATTTTAGAAGTTTCAATGGAAACTATTGGTACATTGTTTTAGTTTAGAAGGTTTCAATGGAAACTATTGGCACATTATTTTAGTTTGGAAGGTTTCAATGGAAACTATTGGTACATTATTTTATTTTGGAAGGTTTCAATGGAAACTATTGGTACATTGTTTTAGTTTGGAAGGTTTCAGTGGAAACTATTGGTACATTATTTTAATTTGGAAGGTTTCAATAGAAACTATTGGTACATTGTTTTAGTTTGGAAGGTTTCAATGGCAACTATTGGTACATTATTTTATTTTGGAAGGTTTCAATGGAACTATTGGTACATTATTTTATTTTGGAAGGTTTCAATGGAAACTATTGGTACATTGTTTTATTTTGGAAGGTTTCAATAGAAACTATTGGTACATTGTTTTATTTTGGAAGGTTTCAATGGAACTATTGGTACATTATTTTATTTTGGAAGGTTTCAATGGAACTATTGGTACATTATTTTATTATGGAAGGTTTCAATGGAAACTATTGGTACATT